CAAGGTCTTTTTTGCTTTTGTGTTTTCAGGCAAAATATGAATATTTTTCTTCCACCTCATCGCAGATGCTATCTATACTTCCTTCATTGTCTCGCAAAAGGGAATTGAAGAATTGTGATGTTAATGGTCATGAAGGTCAGCGGAAATCTGAAGTTATAATAATAATAATAATAATAATAATAATAATAATATTTAGAGTCCTATCTACAGAAAAAGTTTGGGAACCACTCCTTTAGGGATGGCCTAATCAGATACTCAAGATCAATAACGGTCCAACATTGATCAAAATTTCAGAATCAAAATCAATTTCAGTCCGTCCGATCAATTGCTAAGCCCAAATTCTACCCCATAACTTTGCGCGACATGCCTTAAGCAAGGACAGTATCGCCATAGCAACAACAAATTAAGAATGTACCGGATTGATATCGGCAGTATTGTGAAAAACGCCATGTTGTCGTATCGGTATTGTACATGAAAAAGTCTACGAGAAGTCGCCACCTTTCATGGCTAAGGTTTAGCTATTCAGGGACCTCGAACTCAAATGAGTTGATGGCCACTGCTGCCACTGTCATTCCACAAGGGGGACACATAAAAAATAAAAAAATAATTTCAAAATATCCCCAAGAGCAAAATGATTTCTCATTGGAATTGTGTTGCGGGCCTTATTTGGGGGATTTCGCGGACCAGAAGTGGTCCACAAGCCGGGAGTTTGATACCCATGTTTTAAGTCAACAAAAATACCTATGCAGAGCCCAGTGTTGCAGCTCTGGCTCTGAGTCTGTTGTTTACTACAGCGGGGTCCTAAAGGAAAGGCCATCGGTCGTCTGTAGCGCTGCCTCACTCCACCGCTGCACGGATCGGCGCAGGCCGTCCAGGCACTCCACGCGCTCCACTGGCACAGATCTGCGGAGCAGAGAACATCATCATCACGATTAGGACTCTCGCGATTATGAGAATTGCAATTATCATGACAACCGTCAATTAGTGTCAATCGCAAGCGAGCTAGCAATTAAAAATAATTCGATGATTAGATTTATTTGAAAAACAAAATTGTTACCTCGTTAAGAGTGAATTCAACCTGCACTCAACTAGTTTAAACATCTTTATACTTTTGACATACAAATCAAAGCTAGCGTCCTGCGGGCATCAAAGTCATTCGGATTATTCCTCTCTCGCAAAAATGCAAAATTATGAGAAGAATGGAGAGGGCTGATGAGATCGACTTGTGAATGAAACATTCGTCACTGATAGAGCACTGAACCCGATCAGCTTCATGCGTCCCCCAGATACAAAGACGTTAAGCACTTCGTCATTCACAGCACTTTCGGGAATAATGACAATGGGGCAGCAGGAACGAACACAAACATTTTTTACCATGGATACTGATTGCGAGTGCCGGAACTATCAAATGAGGGCGATTATAAATCTTCCGGCACTAGCTGTGACCTGACAAACAATAAAGACGCACACAAAAACCGACGGAAGCCTTAATTAGATTATCATTAGCGATGTTCATTTGTTCTGCTGAAGAAGCAGCCCACACGTTTTTAACCTGTACCTAAACATACCTGTATATAAATTCCAAAATATTCTGTAATGAACAAAAACAGATTATCTTACATAAAGCTAAGTTAATCAATTAATCACGATTAATCACGATTAATCACAATTAATCACGTACTTCTGCATATTGCTGGACCAGAATACCAAAATAACAAATAACAGCAGGTACATAATTGTGTTTTACACCTGTTTTTATTTCTAACTAAACCAAATGGCGGAATTATTATGATGGAAAAAAACTCAAATCTGACCAAAAATATGTCGGAATTCAACAAAGCCCTGTCTAGATTCCTGAATTTAAACTCTTGCAACAGAACCTTTTTTTTGACAAAAAATAAATACAAATCACAGAGTCGACACTTAGTGATTTAACCACTATTAATGTGAGCTCAAAATCATTATTTTCAAATTAAAAGAAGCTATGGATAAAGGCTAATGGATGTTCAAATACTGGAACATTAGTACCTAAAAAAACAACTAACCCTATATGTTCCCTCCAAGCTCAGCAATTTATAAATCAATTCATATGGACTCACTAATGTGACCTGTTGACAAATTAACTAGTGCAGTTAAAAAAAAACATCAAAAACGGGTCACGTGAACAGATGACTTTTCCAATCGGAAACACAACTCCAGTGTTAATGGTTTTGCATTAGCAAGCTAACACGATTGCTAATTTGTCTTCTGGGGTTCTGGTTCCATTTAATGGTCTGCTTGCAAATTTAAACTCCAGTGTATTGGGCTGCTAACGCGCGACAAAGCTAACAAATCGCACGCTGCGACGCAACAGAATTGGTCCTTTAGCAAAGGCTGACAGGCAGAGAAAAGTGAAGGGAGTATTTTTAGGCAGGCAAATGAAACCTGCTAGCTAGCTACAGTAGCTACATCATCATCATTTTCTTGACGTCTAATTTTATTCTAATTACATTTAGGTGTTTCGTAAAATGAATTTATTACTAATTACTAATTATAATAAGAAATATAATTATAATATTATAATAAAGTTAGCAATATGTGTTTAATAGATTTATTTATATTTCTTCACAAGTTAAGGTGGACCTACTAAATAAATGACTTTATAACAGACTGTTATAAGTGTGTCTTGCATTTTGATATGCTCGACATCCCTACAGTTTACCTTCTCTCTCTAAGCAGTATTATCTTTTATTGTATATGTCTTTAAGCTGTTTGAACATTAAGTTCAACTAAACGGCACTGGCATCAGCTACCGGCCAGTTTAACCTGAAAGTCAAGTGCAGTGAAACGGCAGCTCTTTCAGCAGAATTCACTATGAACACTTCATCACCAAAGAGGTCAGACCGGTGGTCTGGAGGTATTTGAAAACTCAGGGTCTGATTGAGTACAGCTACTCAAACCAATATGAGAGTTAAGGAGAAGTGGTTAAAGCCGCGGCTGTTTTTTTCTTTGAAGATCGAGGACTGCTTTTCAAACGGGGAATACTTTAATGTATAAATTACAGCAGAAATATCTAAGGGTGTTGAGACTTTCTATTCTTCAGTGACATCAAACATGTGGTAGAGCAAACCAAACCTGGTTATTTTCTTCTTATCTTATGTGAATTGTGGGGTCCAAAAACAAGCACTTATTTTTGGGGGAGTGAATTTAAAGCTGTGCGAAAATCCAGGCATTTGGCATCAGGCAGAAAGCTTTCTCAAATATATATAAACATATATAAATATATATATATATATATATATATATACATATATGTATATATATACACAAATATATATGTGTGTATATATGTACACATGCATATATACATATATACAGTACATACATATATATCTATATATAGATATATACATACATATGTATGTATATGTATATGTATGCTAAATGTACAGACACACATATGACATTTCTTTAACTAAAAAAACACTTTTTAGCAGCGGCTGTGCTAAAGTAAATACTGCACGGTTACTGCAGAGCACTACAGTACTTAGTGCCGCCGTTTGTCTCTTGTTTATATATTGTCTTTTATTATAGTCTTTTAAATATATTTGACACACTCTATGCCATTTTATTAGGCACCACCTCCCTGTATTTTCGCACAGAGCTCCTTCACACTTGACTCTTTCCACCAAGAGTGTCACAGTCACTGTCAGTGTGAAATCTATAATTCATTCTTTCCTAAGATGCTACGCTTGTCTGGCTCTGACTAGAACACTGTGTTTCCTGCATGAAATAATTTGTCGGGAGCAAAGTGTCATATCGATGCAACATACTGAGGGGAAAATGAAGGGAGCTCAACTGCCACATTCATTACTTTGAGACGAAGAAGTGGACCTTGACGGAGGCAGACTGTGTTTCTTTTGCAGGGTAAAGAAAATTTTTTTGTCCTGTTGGACAAACCTCATTACCTCTGCAGATGTTAGCATCTGGACAAAGCCTCTCCTCCAGCAGCGGTTCGGGACATTGACTCTCCTCCTCTTCCTCGCCCACCTGCGAGACTGGGAAACCTGAATCGAGGTCCAGGCAGGCCCTGAAACGCCTCTGGATTGATACCATTTGTGTGACGTTGATGAGTCCAGCCTGCAATGTGCTAGGCTGCAGCGAGGAGGAGGGCAGGCAGGGGGAGCAGGGAGTCCAATTTGACCACTCGCTGGCGACGACTTAAAAAAAGGGAGGGGAAAAAAAATTGAAGGTCAGAAGACTGAGCAGAGGCATATTAGAGACATTTATATTTTCTCTTTCTTACCTTCACATTCTCTCGTGTCACAGTGAAACGTCCCATCGTGGCAAAGACTGGAGAAATGACCAGCAGAAATAGACAAGAGGGAAGGAGATTGCATAGATTTAATGAATTCTGGCTGTGAGACTAAATCCAAAAAAGGCAGCAGGGAACATTTTAAATGCAGGTATAAAGAAGCCCGGTGCTACTTTGTTATTTTTTTATATTACATTAATTTAGATTTCTGTGTGAAGTTTCTCCGACTCATGAGCTAGAAAATGACTTTACCGCCATGTAGGAAAGACAAATGGAGCCGATCATTTATTTTTAACAACCCAGGACTAACCAAGTACTGCAGCCCACAGAAACAGTGTCGCCCTGAGGAACAATGACAACTGTAGGCGGCTGTCCTGAAGCTTGGTGATGAAGGTGGACGCAGCCACATTCGTTGCCAGGAACACAGCTACCGTTCTGCTGCAGCAGACCCTGGAGGGACGGAAAATACAATTTAAAAGTCAAATAGACGGAGCGTCAGTGCTTCAGTCGGGAAAATCAAAGTGCAACGCCAATGAATTTGCGAAACATATATTGTCGGCAACGCTAATGCTAATTCCAATGAATTTGCGAAACATATATTGTCACGCCCAGTCGTTACAGTCAATCTAGTTCGTTGATCAATTTCATCTCATTTTCACATCACCCACCTTCCAGGAGTAGATAGATGTGTGAATGACATGTAAAAGGCTTTTAGCATTTTCAACTCCATCTATTGGGGGAATGTTGGTATTACAGGGTAAAGGCAGAAATATAATGATAATATAAATGAATTTATAATTTGGAAAAGTTTGGCGGGCCACATTAAAAAATTATATGGGCAACATCTGGCCCCCGGGCCATAGTTTGCCCATGACTGCACTTGACATCTTTGTCCCTAATGGTAGCAATTAAATTATTTACCCCATGACTGCACTCGACATCTTTGTCCGTAATGGTAGCAATTAAATTATTTAGGGTTATATTATGTAAAAATAAATGTATTTGTTATGACTAATATGTTTAGTGAAATACATGAGTGTTGTTCATGCTAACTTCTCTTTTGACCAATGAAGAGTACCTGCAGCACACCCCCAAAAAAAAAAAAAAAAAAATACAACTCAACGCTCAATAGAGCTCGAACCAATCTGCTGTGAGGCAAAATCTTTATAAAAGTTCTCATTACAAGCGGTGTGCAGTCTGTGCCATGGTTTATGATCACCACCGCCTTGAACTGTGAGAGCCCATCAGCATTCTGTCTGAGGTTGGGGGCAATAAATCAGGCAGGAAACTTAACTCAACTTAGTGTCGATGAACAACATTGTAAAACTGTCAACACAACTCACGTCGAGGTGTGAGTTAGAAAATATATGAAAAAAAAAATAAAAACAAAAACAGAGCGCAGGATATGACAATTTATACAATTTGGTACTGTTGCCGTGAAGAAAAAAAATCAGCACTGGTATTTTACTTAAATAAAATTACAGAATTTAACACATGCATGAGGATATCATTCAAATGGTACATGCTTCAAAATGATTCACCTGTGGGCAGTAGCAGCCAGGTACACACTCCCTGACTCCCGGACACACGTCGTCACGGCCCTGCAGCGCGCACTGCTTCTCACAGGGCGAACCACAATTTGAATACACAAATGGTGCTTGGCAGTCTGTAAACAAGAGCAATCGCAAGAGCAAGATGTAGAGACGTTTGTTTTCCGGGACCAAACAAAATCAGTATGACAGCTGTGAAAATGAGCTGGGATTTTTTTTTTTTTTATAAAGATGTCGGACAGGTCACAATACTTTGACCACAGGGATTCACTCACCACCACATTCACTGAGGCTGCAGCTTCGGCTCTGCGTTTCCACCGGAGTGCACTGTTGCCCCCTGGTGACTGGGACGAGGGCTACACGATAGCGCTGCTGCCTCTGAGACTCGCAGGAACACTGAGACCAGACGCTCCACTCAGACATGGGACAGTCTGCAGAAATGAAAAGGTTTGAAATGAAGAGCCAACAAAGACCAAAATCTATCGAGACTGTAATCAATACATTTACTGCACATTTACCGAACACAATTTGATTATTATGAGTCGTAACTCCTTAATATTTTAATGCCACAATATTATGCAGAGGTCAAACTGCTCCGAGGTCCGATTTTGCTGTTGTTGTTTTTTATTTATTTATTTAATAATTTATATTTAAAGCAATACTGAGGTCAGGACTCTGAAATATACTCACTGATGATTGGTTATCATTAGCTAAATTTTTTTTTTTTTAAATCAGCTGATTGTTTCGCCCCTCATACGCTGTTGGAACATTTGACTTCACCTTCGACCTTCGACATGCGCTTTCTTGACTTCAGTACCTGGACAGGGCCTTCGGTAACACAACTGCGTCTCCTCTTTGTTCCTCTCCGCCTCGATATCACCAGGACACGCTGAGTCGCCCGCTTCCTCGCACGCGCACACCCTACGACGGGACGCTGTCCCTGCGCCGCAGCTCCGGGAGCACGCTGACCAGGGCGACCAGGGGCATAAGTCGTCTGATGTGATAGAAGCAAAGGAAATGTGTTGTTAACATGGGTACTGAGTATTTGGGTAGTTTTGTGTTTGATAGTTCAGGAAAAAAAAAAAAGACTAAAGGATGAAGAATTGATGATGATGATGATGATGAGTAGACACGAAACCTAAGCAGGGAGAAGAGCGACATTCCCGCGTTTCTCTCTCCGGTCCACTGCAGTCCGACCCGTTGTTCCGCGGTGGAGGGTTGATGCAGGCACGAGTTCGAACCTGCGCCCCGGGTCCACAGGTCACCGAGCAGTCAGACCAAACCGACCACGGGGTCCAAGCGCCATCCACTAACGGCACACAATAATTGATTTTTTTTTATCTGTGCAGACATTTTGCTCAATAACGCTCTGGATGCAGTAACTCACCTCTGCAGTCAATTTCCTGGCAGTAATTTCCCTCCGGGGTGCAGGTGCTGTGAGAAAATATGTGTGTAAGGAAGAGCTCAAAACATTTCAATTCTTCAAAACCCCAATATCATCTTTTTTTTTCCGTCTCACCATTGTTTACACTCTCCCTGCAGCCAGGTGTGTCCCACGCCGACTTCCTGACTGTCATGGAGACACAGGGGCGGGCAGGATCCCGGGTTGCAAGATTTATGCTGGACTTCCTCAAACTGGCAGTGTGTACCTTCAACATCTGGGACCAGGGACCTGACAGACGACGGCCGCATAAATATTTATCACGAGAGCACCTGATGTGAATTATAAAAAAAACCTCGGACTAAAGTACTGTACAAAACAACATTTTTTTTTCTCATCACCGATATCTGGTTTTCTGGCCGGGTCCGCAGGAAACGCTGCACGACGCCCAGCTGGACCACGAGCTCCACACGCAGGTCCCCTGGCAGCTGTGATTGGTGCAGAGGAACTGTCCGTCAGAGCAGCTGCAGTTGTTACAGTCCACCTGGTGCCAGCTACCGGCTGCCCAAATCTGCCCCACCGAGTCCACGCAGTCACACTGCCAAAGCTGCACACAGACGCCATCCTGCTGCAATTGACCTGGACACACACAAACACACACACACAGACATGGATTATTCATCATTCGTATGCCTCGAAACTCTTGTCTGTGTGTCTGTTTGATCCTCAGTTTTTGGATTCTAGGGAGGTCCTCTGATCATGTAGCTCAGAGACGGAGACATTTTTTTGTTTCTAAAATGAAATAAAATATTGGTGTAAACGAAAGGAACTAAAAAGTGCGTTGGCACACAGGTGAAAAAAAAATTCAACTGCAACTCATCAAGGGACTTGTGTACTCTTGTGACTTGTGACTTTTAGTTTCACTTTAAGGTACTCTTGTGACTTTTAGTTTCACTTTAAGGTTTTTTGGGTTTTTTAGCAGTTTACTGTCACCGCTCCTGTGTCCATTTCGACCGAGTCCCAGCCGAGTTGTCACCACAGTGTTAACTTGCGACGGGCCTGCTCCAATACTCCCCCGCCCGTCTGCACCCCTACCGGCTGCATCACCTCTCATCCTAGACAATGCTTTCTCTGGAGCGTCCATCGCCGGAGCGTCCATGATGACACCTCGAGACTAGTGGGGTCCATCTAGTCCACCTCTTGTCGCCCCCCAGCAGGACGCTGGCCGGGTCGTTGACCACGGTGTGCTAGCCCAGGAGGTGGGACCAAGTCATTGCTTTGCAAGTCTCAAGTCTTTGCACTCAAGTCCGAATCAACTCTCAAGTCAAAATAGGCAAAGTCCGAGTCGAATCCAAGTCAAGACTGAAAAGTGTCAAGTCAAGTCCCAAGTCCTGCCGTTTCTGTTTCGACTTTATAATCTTTGGGTTTTGGAGAAAGTATCGAGTCTTGTCGAGTCAAAGGGCTCGAGTCCAAGTGAAGTCACGAGTCATTGATGTTAAAGTCCAA